GGAATGTCTTCTCCTCTGAAATGTTCAGGCTGGACCATGGAATGATCACTCTTCATGGAGAGGCCGCTGGGACATGAAGATGCTGCTACTGCTGGGGCTTGTTGGAACCTGTACCCCAGAACACAATAAAAAATGTCTCTAATATTTGGAACGGTACTTCATATTCATAAGCACTGACTGAGAAATCATACATGTCAGACTTGTAAAATGTGACTGACATCAAGTGGAAAGGCAATTTTCTTCTGACAGCTGCTTTTATATTTTTGGATCACTCCTCACATTCTTTTCCACTTATCATTAATGTACATCATCTTGTTACACTGTAGTACAAATATACTGTATTATTGCATACTGTAAACCTCATCAACTTGGTTAAAAGTTTACTCACATAGGTTTGTCTGCCATCAAATTGGGAGGTACACATGGATCACTGCTTCTCAGGCTACACTGCCTGCTGTCTGGTCTTCTCTGTGGAGACATGTGCTTTACTTTTATTGAAAACAGAACACAACTCTACAGTTCTTCCTGACCTGCGCAAAGTCAACTAAACACAGCTTATAAACTTTTATTACTGTTATTAGAAATAACAATTTTTCAAGTGAGTGATTTTATTTTCATTTTTGTAATCATTTTATTTCCCATCTGTGTTTGATAGTGGTTCCTGTTTCTTGTTTGTAAATATGTAGTTTAAATAAAGTGTAAAACAACAACAACAAAAACATAGCACACTGTTACGCAGGTGCGCCATCTTGGGCCCGTTTCAAGAAGGAGGTTTAACAAACTCAGAGTTCAAACCTGAACTCTGAGTTGAATTACACAGAGTTGGAAAACTTGGAGTTTTCGGTTTCAGAACAGCTGAAAAGAGTTGGTTTAATCAACTCCGAGTAGGCTGACTCAGAGTTAGGCGCGTGCCACGCCACTATAAAAAGCCCTGAACAATGGAGTGAAGAAATTACGAGTCACCATGGCAACAGGACCAGGCAAAAATAGGTCTGCGTTTTTTCCCCGACAGAAATGGATGTGCTACTACAAGCATATAGTGACTACGAGCCCATATTTCGTAAAA